AATATCAGTAAATTATTTACCCGAGAGAAAGTCATAATAATAACATAACATGTAATATATGTAATTAAACGCTATACTCAAGATTTAGAAGCTAGACTACAGATCAGTGACATTGTCGTACATACATTGTAAGGTTCAAGAGACAATAATGAGGGGACGAGTGGAACACTGGAAATAGATTAAATACGTAACCAGAAGATAACATGGGTTTAGAGAAGGAAAGTCCTGCCTAGCAAACTTACTAGAGTACTGCGACTAGTTAACATTAATCAAGCAGGAAAGAGAAGGGTTGGCCTGATTGCATTTTTCTACATTGCCAGATGCTGGTAGAGCAGAGCTGGAAGAGGATTGAATTGGGTGGTTTAGGATGGTGAAATCTGCTTTTACGTTCACCAAATGCAGTCCCATAAGTCTCACCCTCAGTCCCATAAGTCTCACCCTCAGTCCCATAAGTCTCACCCTCAGTCCCATAAGTCTCACCCTCAGTCCCATAAGTCTCACCCTCAGTCCCATAAGTCTCACCCTCAGTCCCATAAGTCTCACCCTCAGTCCCATAAGTCTCACCCTCAGTCCCATAAGTCTCACCCTCAGTCCCATAAGTCTCACCCTCAGTCCCATAAGTCTCACCCTCAGTCCCATAAGTCTCACCCTCAGTCCCATAAGTCTCACCCTCAGTCCCATAAGTCTCACCCTCAGTCCCATAAGTCTCACCCTCAGTCCCATAAGTCTCACCCTCAGTCCCATAAGTCTCACCCTCAGTCCCATAAGTCTCACCCTCAGTCCCATAAGTCTCACCCTCAGTCCCATAAGTCTCACCCTCAGTCCCATAAGTCTCACCCTCAGTCCCATAAGTCTCACCCTCAGTCCCATAAGTCTCACCCTCAGTCCCATAAGAAGCAAGTTCAGGTAGGTTAATATGTTATCGGAAGGGAAGGGAACTATCAGGAGAGACCGCCAAGCCATTACGACTATATAGCACTTGGAAGGGGTCAGGATAAGGATTTAGGATGGGACGGGGAGAAAGGAACGGTGCCCAACCACTTGGACAGTCGGGGATTGAACGCCGACCTGCATGAAGCGAGACCGTCGCTTTACCATCCAGCCCAAATACCGTGAGACCCAGTTTTATTGGGTCTAACGAAGCCTAATTGGCTTTGTGAGTAGAAATTCAGAGTCTAAGTGCAGTAGAAACTGGTCAGTTCTTGTTGATATAAACAGAGACAGATAGGAGAAAGTTATATCCATAATAGTCGTATAGATTTTTAAATAAGAACACTAATTATTAAATATTATCTATATATAATTAATATCTGTATAGTGGTTTGTCTTCCCAGTACAAAAAATACACTTAATTAATCCATCGATAAAGGTTTGGATACACGATTAATATTTTCTGTATTTTAGCAAAATGTACCAATAGACACATTAATTTGAATATGCATGTTATAGGTTTCTTAGTGGAAAAACTTCCTACAATACCGTAGTAATGAAGGTGAAGAAAGGACCCAATACTTTGGGTCTTTTGTAAGGTGCTGGGAACAATGTTTACATCACCTTGATAAAGGATGTAGGTTTCATCCGAAAATTTGGTCAACATGATTTTCTCTGAATGCTCTTTATTTCCTTCTGCGAGGCTATGGGACCCCACCACTAATCCAGAGGTAATACCGCTTTTTAATAAATCATTAAAAATAAGGGTCTCGTAGTACAGTTGGATTCGTTCTCGACTCACACTTGGGGATCAAATCCCTGGAAACAAACCGAAACTGTCTCTATTTTCCGCTTGTTACAACTTGTAATAAAGTTGTTACATCTTGGCTATACAGCTTGGCTTGGTAGTTACAACTCGCTATATTGGTTACTATAACTTGTTAGGTGTTGTTAAAACCTATTCGCACGTTGTAGCAACGTCGTAGTTTCGTTGTGTGTTCGGCGGGAAGTTCGTTTCTCAGGCGGGACAAAAATGGTTGGGCACATTTTCTTTCACCCAATTCCTCTGCTCACCTAGCAGTAAATGGGTACATGAGAGTTAGGAAACTGTTGTGGGGTTCCATTCCAGGAAGTGATCGGTGGACGCTGGTTCTTTCCTCGTCCTGATTCCAAGATTTTCTCAGGCGAAGTTATTCATCGTGTTAGTGTTCACGCAAGAAATATTGTTCATGATTATACTTTAATTCCCCATAATAAACAATCGGGTGTAAATGGAAAGTTGAATAGTTTTTAGCATGCAGAAGGCCTACAGGACCACGCGAGGCAGCCCCAGCCACACTTATTCATGTTTGTCTAACCTACACTTGAAACAATCCAGCGACTCCACGTCTAGTACGTCGCATGGTAATTTGTTCTATAAATCAACAGCCCTATTCCCAAACCAGTATTTACCCTTGTATTTAAGTCTTTTATAAATTTAAACTCATCCAATTTGTACCCAATGTTTCGTGTCCTATTTTGTGTTAATTTTGTTAATACATTATTAATAATTCGTTTTATCTACCCTTACGTCCATTTGTATTCTGCCTCGTATGGGCCAATACGCCTTATTCAGTGTCATTTATTCTTAAGTTCTTTCTATAAAAAGTACATTAAGGTATGTAATTAATCTCTCTTTAAGTGTTAGGCTGCTAGTATCTCGAATGTTCTGATTCTAAGGTTCCAATTGTACTTCTAAGGTACTTAAGAATACAGTCAAAATATATGACTTAACTCACTATATTAGAGGCAAGAGTATTGAAATACTGTAGTTTTAATTTATAAATTCTTTCCAATAATATTAGAATTGTGAAAGATAAATCCAAATATAATTTGTAGATTATTAAATTGAGGGGAATTAGATCATTCTTTTCTAAGTAACTTAAATTTCGTAATAGGGGAGGTTATCTTGAGATGATTTCAGGGCTTAGCGTCCCCGCGGCCCGGTCCTCGACCAGGCCTCCTTTTTGTTACACATCCCCCAGGAAGCAGCCCGTAGCAGCTGTCTAACTCCCAGGTACCTATTTACTGCTAGGTGAACAGGGCATTAGGGTGAAAGAAACATTTTGCCCTTTTGTCTCCGCCTCCACCGGGGATTGAACCCGGAACCTCAGGACTACGAATCCGAAGCGCTGTCCACTCAGCTGTCAGACGCCCTTAGGGTCACAGATATACTGAATAACTTTGGACCAGTAATCAAGGGAGCTGGAGTAGACAGTCCGCTACAAAGGTTTGACTTAGGGATTCAGTATCTTGTATTAATTTACATAAAAATATATTTTCATAATAAAAAAAAGAACCAATCAAAACATAATGTCATCTCTTGGTAAATATTTGAACATCATTCTCCATAACATTAACTTAACCCAAAAAGATACAAATTTGACGTAATCCAGTTAACATAAGTTTCCTGTAGACTGAGGTAACACATTTTACCTGGATTTACCTGAGGGTCACCATCTTTCCAGTGGTCTGAGGGGTAAACATGAAGCCGGTGGCTTGTCAAAAATCCCCACATTATTCCAGAGAATTTTTTTTATGTTGGATTTTATCTTGGCATTTACGACTAATTTTACATTTATTTTTATCCTAAAGAAAATCCTAAACAATATGGATAAAAAAATTTTTATCCGTATTGATCCTAAAAAAACAATGTTTTATTGATTTATTCTCAACTCTAAATTTAACATCAGAATGTTTAAAAGTAACATATGATCTGAATAATTTAATGACAGAAGAGTTATTGAACATTAAAATGGATAATCAACTGTTTTATATATAAAACATTGGATCAAAAAGTAAAAGACGGCCAAGATTTATTTTATGACCTAAATTAGTCGTCCAAATTAGGACTCAGAGGGGAATATCATAACTATATCATTTACATTTAATTTTTATTGGTTAGCAAATAAAACTCTGTCCTCAACAGTTGTTTGAAGCCATTTGTAATATCTAGTAAAACCAGCTAATTTTTAATTACATCGTTATTACAACAAATCATTTTAATCAAGTGACTTTTAGTAAACAGAAAAATCTAGGCATAACAGCATCAAAATATAGGAATAATTGAGTGATATTATTTATAAATATAAAAGGAGCCTTTAGCTGTATATTCATTAAAAGTTAAAGGTTGAAAAACTTGGACTAATAATGTTGTCAAGGCTTATTTCAGTGTGCTCAGAATAGGTCTAATTGGAGCACAGAAGGAAACACAAATGCTATATGAACCAACATTACACGGAACACTATCTGTGCAACCTGGTGATCACAGCTCGTCGCACTAACCAGTTATCCACTGACGCCTTATAAGACTTATTAGAACTTGGAAATCGACGGAGGATTATGCTAAGCACGGCCAAGATTTCACAGCCTCTTACCAGATTTATCCAATTGTGGGAGATCACCAGGTCGTGGGCTTAAGCCCCGTTACAGCTCTTTGTTTTCACACTGTATGATTTGTGTTGCTAATTCGTAGTGTATATGTAACAAATTTTATGTATTCCATGTCACAGGTGATCTTAGAAATTGGGTAAAATTGTTAGATGCTGTGATTGACACAAAAAAATAGGAAGAATCCTTGGTGGATTTTCAAGTAAAAGAATTATTTTTATCCAATCCCATTTCTCATCTTATTTCCCTTTCCTATTTCTCACCCCATTACTCCAAACTTTAGATTGTGATATGAATTGAACTCACAGCTACCTCTTGATTTACAGTCTGCAATCGCCAAAACAGTTGGGTTCATTTTCGACTCACAGTCGGGAATCCCGGGTTCAAATCCCTGATGGGACCGAAATGATTGAGCACGTTTCCTTTCACCTAATACCACAATTCACCGAGCAGTAAATAGCTACCCGGGAATTGGCCAACTGTTGTGGGGCTGCGTCCTGTGTGTGTGGGGGGGGGGGGGGCAGTATTTCTACCTTGGGGGCCTATGTATTATATATATGTGTATATATATATATATATATATATATATATATATATATATATATATATATATATATATATATATATATATATATATATATATATATATATATATATTATACATTACACCCGTCTCGCTATAGTCCCTCCGTCCACCCGTCTCGCTATAGGCTCCTCTGTCATCGCGCGTCTAGGCAGCTTTGGCCGATCTTTCAGTGAGGACGACCTCGAACTCGTGGGGGTTGAGGGTGACGCCACAGTGGAAGCTGGTCGAGGGGCGGGCGAGACCTTCGGGGACGCTGAACGTGTACCTCTGCAGCATTCCCGTCAGGAACTGAAAGGCCTCAATCCTTGCTAAGGATTCGCCCAGGCAGTTGCGCCGCCCTGGAAGGTTGTACATGAATGAACAGATTTAGCAGAAATCGCTGGAGCCCTACGGGCTTTCTCTAATTCTTACGTATATTTAAAAATAATTGTTTTATCATTGTTTTAGTGTCTACATTATTTAATTAAAATGTTTATTGGCAGTTATCTTAAGAAGTGATTATGATATGCAGTCCTAAGTTAATTGACACTGATGAAACAAAGTTCTGCAAGTAATAGACTAAAAGGAGCGCCACAGACTGAAAGACGAGGGCGGAGGCTTGCTGTTGCGAGTGACAGTCGAAGGAGGTAGCAACAGAGGAAGACTTAAGGGGGACTCACCCACATAGGAAGTCTTCCCAACAGAGGAAAACTAAATGGGGACTCACCAACTGAGGAAGACTTAAGGTGGACTCATCAAGAGAGGTAGACTTAAGGGGGGGACTCATCAAGAGAGGTAGACTTAAGGGGGGACTCACCCACAGAGAAGGGCAGAACGTGTTCGGAGCGGATCACTTGGCCGTTCTCGTCCAAGAACCTCTCTGGCCGGAAGTTTTCCGGGTCGCTCCACACCTGAACACACCAGGAGGGGGGTGAGGGGGGAGGAAGGTCATTAAACGTGACTGCAGAGATAAATAATTACCACCGGTGTCTTGGCTTTATGTGCACTGATTATATTGGATATATATATTTAGAAAGCCTGCCAGACTTGCCCCTCCAAAATACATAAACAATGGAAAGAAATCATCATTGGTTGATCATTACTTGATATTTATCATATTTGATCATAGATTATAGCGAATATGACAGTATTACTGATATAGATTTGGTCTTGGTGTCGTTAAAAAAAATTGGATAATTTCGGATTATCCTAATTGGAATATATTTTGCATAAAGATCTCTTAATCCGACCTTCTTATCCCAGTGGATGCCCCAGATGTTGCCAATGATCCAGGTCCTCTTAGGAATGCGGTAGCCATCCAAGGTCGTCTCCTCGGGGTTGCCGTGGAGGGCGAGGGGCGTGATGGATCCGAACCGGAACACTTCCGTCATGAACGCCTCCGTGTAGGGCATCCTGAGCCGGTCCTCGTACCTGTCAGGGTTCAGGAGAGCATTGCTAGGCTGTCAAACTTTCGTGTTATCAGGCTGCAAGAGTGATATAATGGTTAAGTTTTTGAACTGAACTTTCAGAACTTTCCTGTAACCCCTCGCAACTGCCTGAGTGTTGCGGTGAATCAAATCATGCTTGTGCAAGCGAAGCATCTCTCGTTTGCAATAAGAGAGAAGTAAGTCAAATTGTTCTCACGTTGGTAGGCGTTCAGTGCCGATGTTTGCCTCGATCTCGTGGAAGAGGGCGTCCTGGAGGTGCGGGTGACGCAGGAGGAAGAGGAAGCACCAGCGGAGGGTGGTGACGGTGGTGTCCAGACCCACGATGAACAGGTCGCTCAGCAGCCACTTCAACTGATTGTCTGTTGGGAGTCAGACTAGATGGTTATGCAACACACTAAACACTTGTCTGGGGGTGGTAAGATAGAGCAATCATCAGGGAGTCATGATGATCCTGGAGCACTTACAATGATTACAAGGACAGAATAACAGCTGGAATATGAGTGAGTGAAAAACGGTGTTCACCCAACTGGACCATCTGGAATTGAACGCTGTCCCTGCAAGAAGCGAGACCTTCCCTCTCCCGACCAGTATAAGTACTTGGAAAAAAACAGCCCACTATGAGGTAAATATGTATTACATTCTGAAATAAACCCGTCTTCCGCATATTTACATTTTGCCAAAGGTAAAAATTCTAATAGACATAATTCTATTCTAATGTTTATTTCGATTTATGAAGGCTCGAACTAAGCGAAGAATGCTTTCTCTCACCAGTGAATATTGTGTCTGAGTTGCCCTGCTGCAGCTGCCGCCGCTGCTCCAGCAGGAACTGGTAGATGAAATCAAAGCCTCGCTCAGGGTTGTCCAGGTTGGCTTTGTGCTTCTCGATGAGTTCCGTGAAGTAGTCGAGGCGGTGCTTCACACTGAGCCCCACCTTGAACGCCTTTGGTTTGATAAAAGTCCCAATGAATCTGAAAGATAAAACCACTGATCGTAAATATGTTTGTGTAACTCCTGTAAATCTGCAACCATGATGACCAAACCACATCCCAGAAGATGAGTAGACGACGACGTTTCGGTCCGTCCTGGACCATTGTAAAGTCGATTGTGGACGACGATTGTTTCGTTCTAGGACAGACCGAAACGTCGTCGTCTCCTCATCTTCTTGTGTGGGGTTTGGTCATCATATCTTCAGCCACATGATTGCGACTCATCGTCTGTAAATCTGCAACTAATTATTACAGAAACAAATCCAAAAATGCTCCCACAAAGCCACGAAGAATGGTCAAGTATCCCTGGCACTTACTGTAATAAAGGGGTGTAGTTGAGGAAGCCTCCTTGCTCGACCAGTGTTAGAGACATCTCGAGGGAGTCAATGATCCACTTCAAATTCTTGTCTCCCATGGGAAACCGCTCACCCACGAACATGTGCCACACTATGTTGAGCACAGAGGTGGCTAGGTCATGGTGCAGATTGTAAGGCTTCCCAACTTTTTTCTGAGAACCAAAAAAAGCAAAAAACAGGGAGAGGCATAAATTAAGATTTATTTACCAATGCTTCTATTTCTGCGTACTAATTTTACAGTGTCTTAATCCTATTATAAGTTGTGAATATAAATAATTGGATCACCTGAAGAATCACCAGCCAAGCGCTACCTGGGGAGGAGGGAGGGGTGATTCTCCAGATGATCACAGCATTCTACAATCAAATGAGAGTAGTGATAAGATTAAAACACAGCTCAGAACTGAGGAAAAGCCTGAGTGCACACCTGCGTGGCCTCGAGGAAGTCCTGCAGCTCCCGGTTGACGTAGGCCTCGACGGAGCTCTTGCCCATGCCGAAGTCCCTCAGGACGTGGAGGGTGAAGCGTCGAGACTCCCGCCACACTCGGTCCTCCGCGTCAGCGATGCCTGCAGGAGGTAATGCTAATTAACGCTGCCAGAAGACTTTGTAAGAAATATTAATTCTGTAATCATTTAAGTACGACAGAACACACTGTATTGTGGACATGCTGTTGTTGCCAGATCATTACCGTCCATGATGGAGCGCGGGAACTTATCACCCTGAAGAACGATGTTGGATAATCAATGAGGTCTGCAAATTATATCTCTGATGCTTTCAGATTTGAGACAGATTTCACTGGATAAAAGATTAGACTTACCGTCAACGTTGAAATTAGACGATGGTGTTCCTAACTCTAGGACTGACCTTTGCCTCCCATGATGAAGCTAAGGACGGTGCCCCTGGGACGGTGGTTGAACATGTCTCCCTGCCTGACGAAGGCCTGAGTCAACCAGTGGGAGGAGTTGATCACCACCACACGCCGGAGACCCAGCTGGACGCTGTACAGCGGACCGTGCTCCTCTGCCAACCTTTTCAAGAAAGGAATCACAAAATTATAGATAATCAAGTTTTTAGGGCCTATTCTTATCAGTCAATAGCCGATACCAGATATTCTTATCTGCTATCGGTCTTTTATCGTGACTGAAAAAAATGCGTGCAATCTGATCCTGAGATTGTCAAAAGGCCTGCAATCATTATCTTTCAAGTATAGATCTCGGCACTTGACACCTACTTTCCACTTCTCACATGATATCCTGTAAACCTCACTCTTCCTGACTCCATTAGCTCACTCTTTGCCCTCCATTGTTTTACTCTTTGCCCTCCGTTGTCTTACTCTTTGGCCTCCGTTGTCTTACTCTTTGCCCTCCGTTGTCTTACTCTTTGGCCTCCGTTGTCTTACTCTTTGCCCTCCATTGTCTTACTCTTTGCCCTCCATTGTCTTACTCTTTGCCCTCCATTGTCTTACTCTTTGGCCTCCATTGTCTTACTCTTTGCCCTCTCTCTTCTTGCATTTCTCCTGTTTATCTTTACCATCAGAAACACAATTGTCGATGATTTACTGCAAGATCTTTCACTGTAACTGGCAACCAAGCCTAGTTCAGCAGTACACAAGTATACAGTGAAGTACTCAAGCAGTAGTCGTACACTGTGAACTTGTGTACATTCCAACATACTTGGGCCGTCGTATGGACCACACTTCTCTTCTCCGCGCGTTGTCTTTAAGCTCTGTAATGTAACTGTATTTTCGCATGATGATATACCAGCTCATAAATCTCAACACTGCTTGAAAGCAATGAAGACGAAAAAACATAAATAATGAATTCTTAATTACGATGAACCCTCTTACTGCCTAGGTACAACAACATTAACGTTCATTAGAAGTAAGATTATTAGCTAACTGTGGCTGCTTAGAGCTTGGTTCTAGTGTAAACAGGGGGGAGAAGGCGCCTTTACCTGCTGAAGAAGGTGATGGAGTCCTCCCAGAGAAGGTCGAAGAGGTTGCCGACGAGCGGGAGGCCCTTGGGTCCCGGCGGCATCCCTCGGCGGTCGGGCTGGTGCGTCGCCGCGTACACCACCAGCATCAGCAGCGCCACCACCGCCGCCAACACCACCGTCAGCCACATCTCTCCTTTAAGACCCACGCGCTCTCTGTCGTGAGATAAAACCCCAAATGTCAGCGTCTTCAACCAAAAGAAAAGTTGTCCTCAACAAAGCACTTCAACTCTTGACTGACTCTCTGCAGAGGCACCATGCATCTCTCAACTCTGTAATCACCGCTACATCCATCCATCCGCGCCTCGACATCAGTCAACCCGTCCTCTCAACTACTACGTCACATTTTACACGTTATGGTCCGCAACGTCCAAATTACAAAGTACTATGGAAAGCAACGACTCGCAACCATCCACAGCCTTTCACTGCATCGGTAGGTCAGGTCAGGTTAGGTTAGGTTAGGTTAGGTTAGGATAGGTTAGGTTAAGTCAGGTCAGGTTAGGTTAGGTGGGTGGTGTGGGTCCCTACTTTCCTGGTTAGATTAGAACGTCGTGTACGTCTGATAACATACTACTTGTGAAGGAGGAAATGTATATGGTGTTTATCTCTCAGAATGTTCGGTAATATGTTTATTTGTGATGTGTGTCTATGTATGTATTAACACGATGTACTGAACGGGGTGAGAATAGCTTGAGCTACCCCATCCCTTTGTGTGTATTTTACCTCAATAAACTTATTTCAATTTCAATTTCAATAGAACGTTGTATTTTGTTCGTTGTGGCACATCAAGGGAGAACTGGCTGCATCGCTACCCACTAGCGATGCAGTGGGTAGCGAAAATATGTATACAGAATCCATCGCGGTGTATGGGGGAGAACACACACACACACACACACACACACACACACACACACACACACACACACACACACATTTTCTCATCTTCTCACCCAGATTTTCACCCAGAACGTAGAAGATATCGAGAATTTAGAGCATGAAATACCTCTAGGGGCCAGTGACCATTGTGTCCTAGTCTTTGACTACATGATGGAATTCAAACTTATGACCATGGGACAAGAGATCTGGGAAAGGAGAGCTGACTACAGGAAAGGGGACTATATGAGGATAAGGGACTATCTGGATGAAGTGCAGTGGGAGGAAGAAATTAGAGGAAAAACAGTCCAAGATATGATGGACCTAGTCATACAGAAATGCCAGGAGGCCGAAGAAAGATTTATACCAACGGTAAAGGGAAACAATAAGAAGGAATATAATAACCCATGGTTTAATAGACAGTGTCAGGAAGCAAAAATGGCCAGCAGGCGGGAGTGGAGGAAGTACAGAAGACAAAGAACAGAGGACAACAGAAGCAGATACAACAGAGCTACGAACGATTACATTAACATAAGACGAACATCGGAAAGGGACTATGAGAACGATATTGCAATCAAAGCGAAAAAACAACCTAAGTTACTACACAGTCATATAAGAAGAAAAATGTCGGTGAACGACCAAGTGACAAGACTAAGGAAGACAGAGGGGGCATATACTGAAAGTGACAAGGAAATCTGCGAGGCACTGAATGCCAGTTTCCATGGAGTGTTCACTACCGAGCCTGAGCAGCTCCCATTGTTGGAAGGGGTTACCCTAGATGAAAGACTATCAGATATAGAGGTGACAGCAGAGGAGGTAATGAAACAGTTGACAACTCTAGATGCAACTAAAGCAGTTGGACCAGACAAAGTATCACCGTGGATACTAAAAGAAGCAGCACAGGCCCTCAGCGTGCCTCTGGCAATGATCTTTAATGAGTCACTTATGTCAGGAGAATTGCCCAGTTGCTGGAAGAAGGCAAATGTCGTGCCGATCTTCAAGAAAGGCGATAGGGAGGAGGCACTTAACTATAGACCTGTATCACTGACAAGCATCACCTGTAAAATACTGGAAAGAATAATTAGGCTACGACTGGTTGCACACCTGGAGAACATTAGGTGTGTGAACAAACATCAACATGGGTTCTGGACAGGGAAATCGTGCCTAACAAACCTTCTGGAATTCTATGATAAAATAACGAGGATAAGACAGGACAGAGATGGTTGGGCAGACTGCATATTTCTGGACTGCCAAAAAGCCTTTGATACAGTACCGCACATGAGACTGCTGTTCAAGCTCGAGAGGCAGGCGGGGGTGGGGGGAAAGGTCCTAGCATGGATAAGGAACTACCTAACAGGAAGGAGCCAAAGAGTTACGGTAAGGGGCGAGAAGTCGGACTGGCGAACAGTAACAAGTGGAGTACCACAAGGATCGGTGCTGGGACCAATTCTATTTCTTGTATATGTTAACGACATGTTTACAGGCGTAGAGTCCTACATGTCGATGTTTGCGGATGATGCAAAGTTGATGAGAAGAGTTGTGACAGATGAGGATTGCAGGATCCTCCAAGAGGACCTGAACAGATTGCAGAGATGGTCAGAGAAATGGCTACTAGAATTCAACACGAGCAAATGTAAAGTTATGGAAATGGGACTAGGAGATAGGAGACCAAAGGGACAGTACACAATGAAGGGGAACAGCCTACCTGTAACGACGCGTGAAAGAGACCTGGGGGTGGACGTAACACCTAATCTATCTCCTGAGGCACATATTAATAGGATAACGACAGCAGCGTACTCTACACTGGCAAAAGTTAGAACATCATTCAGAAACCTAAGTAAGGAGGCATTTAGGGCGCTTTACACTGCCTACGTAAGGCCAGTCTTAGAGTATGCCGCCTCATCATGGAGTCCCCATCTGAAGAAGCATATAATGAACTGGAAAAGGTTCAGAGGTTTGCAACGAGACTCGTCCCAGAGCTACGAGGGATGGGGTATGAGGAGCGCCTGAGGGAACTGTGCCTTACGACACTAGAAAGAAGAAGGGAGAGGGGGGACATGATAGGAACGTATAAGATACTCAGAGGGATTGACAGAGTGTACATAGACGAAATGTTCACACGGAGAGGAACGAACAGAACGAGAGGACATGGATGGAAGCTTGAAACTCAGATGAGTCACAGAGATGTTAGGAAATTTTCTTTTAGCGTGAGAGTAGTGGGGAAATGGAATGCACTTCAGGAACAGGTTGTGGAAGCAAATACTATTCATAATTTTAAAACCAGGTATGATAGGGAAATGGGACAGGAGTCATTGCTGTAAACAACCGATGCTCGAAAGGCGGGATCCAAGAGTCAATGCTCGATCCTGCAGACACAACTAGGTGAGTACTAGGTGAGTACACAACACTAATAGTGTATCTGATCGAGAGACTTTGACTTGGTCCGTCTAAGAGTTCCTTAGGAGCCGTAAGGTAACTCTTCGTACCTACAGACTAACGTTACTAAACGTGGGGGACACTGCGAGAGTTTAAGATAACTGAATCTCTTCCCCACAGCCTGGACACTCATGAGGCTTGTCACCTCAATGCACTATCATGTGTTTTTTTCAGGTTTCCTTAAGATAAAACCAGGATCTGAGATTGAATACATCAGTGTGATTCAGCTGGTAATTCGGAATCTAGATTACCAGCTGAATCACACTGATTCTAGATCATCGGGTAAACTGGGGTATTCTAAACATAGTGTGCATTCAGTGAGCCCAAGTAAACCAGGGTTTTATTGAGCAAACATGGATCATAAAATAAAAAATAAAATTGGGTCTCATCATCACAGAACCACATAATTACACCACATTACTTTATTAAACCCTCCATTAGTTCATTAAACCCCCATTAGTTCATTAAACCCCCATTAGTTCATTAAACCCCCATTAGTTCATTAAACCCCCATTACTTCATTAAATCCCATTACTTAATTAAGCCCCTATTATTTCATTAAATCTCATTACTTCATTTAACCCTATTACTTCTTTAAACCCACTGTTTCATTAAATCTTATTACTTCATTAACCCCATTACTTTAGACAACTCCATTACTTAAATCCCCTTACTTCATTATGCATCTATTGCTACATAAAACCCCATTATTGCCTTAAACAGATTACACCCATTACATGCTATTTTTCCTCCCAATCTTTGTATATTTTCCCATTATCCCCCATTACATTACCTGGACTTCTGGTGGAGAACCCCAGACACAACTAAATAGAAAATATTAATTCTAGAAATATGTCTACAAACTCGTTAGCAAGTGTAGTAGTGGAAGTGTTTTTTTAATCTACGTTACCACAAGTGGACTGAGACGCCCAGACGGTCAGGCCTACACCCTCAGCAGCGAAGTACACCCCTACACCATAGGCCTATAGGCCAATTAGCCATGAACGTATATTCTCTCCCCCGATTAATATACGAGTTTTATTTCTGATTGTTAATAGTGACAATAGTTACAGTCTAATTACAAAATGTTTACAGTATCGTTGTATATAGAGATTTGTAAACAAAAACCAATGTGTGGCTCTCAAAAACATTTGGAGGAAGAGAGAGAGATCTTAGATCTCCGCCAATAGATCTTAGTCTGGTGTCTGACTGCATGACCTCCGTCACTCCCCGTCAGGGTCAAGCGTGATGCATGGCGGCCCTGGAAAAGGAAGAGTCGTCCAGAAAGGTCGGTTTTCGCGAGAGCAATACGTCTTCCTGTCAACCGGTTGCAGAATCCAGTTACAAATTGATGGGCTCAAGAGACCAGGCCACCAGTGGGAGAGTAAGGAGGATGCACAAGTCCGTATTTAATTAAGGAGTTATCATGGGATCGTACAATGGACGTAAATAGATTTATACGGTATATATCTATGTCTGTAAGAGAGTGTATGTCTGTTCACAGTTGGAGGCTGCTAGCATCATTCCCAAGATCCCCTTTAGATTTCCCCAGCTGTAGATCCCCTAGCCTCTTGTGTCCCTGCCTGTGTGCCATCGCCCAGGAATCAGATGTTGATTTCGCTGGTCAACCTGCTTGTGACCTCTTCAGCAGCCATGCAGAAAATGAAAGGGGCAAGTGGGTCTCCCTGCTGGACACCTTCCGCGGAAACAACTTCATGTTCCCCAAACAACAACCCGTTCTCGCACTTGTTTATAGTCAATATTGGCTTATTTAATAAGTGCATATGTGACATACTAATTGATTGTGAATATTTTAGTTTACCTTGAAAAGCTTCATAGGAAACACC